CACTTAAGAATGAAGGAAAGAAACCTGAATATCGCTTAGCTTCTTTCCAGACTTCATGGTTCTGGGAGGACAGACTCCACCTCAGTAGGGTCGGGTGTACCTCAGGCTTCCTCCCCTGGTCTTTATCTTCGTCCCAGTAATCATTTAGTGATGGGCCTTAATAAATACATCTGAGAACTGTTCTTATGCTTGGTAAATATTGGATTAGCTTTTCAATGACCGGGCTCTTGAAAAGGCTGGAGAAATCCACACCAGGTCTCAACTAAGCCCAATAGTCAATAGGTGAGGAAAATCAGTTATTTCCCTAGCTGTGGTTGGAGTGGATGGGGTGAAGTTCCCATTTTTATCAAATTATCGGATTCTACTAAATAGGATAGCAATACTAATTGGGGAAAGAAAGAGAACCTAAGTTTAGGGCTAGCTGGAATTTTGCTCTCTGGGTCGTGTTCATTAAGGACGGAATGACTTTGTTCGAGGGGGACACTTATTTTTTCAGCGTTCCACAAAAACTCCTTTGTTTAACACTATCGGTTGTTTAGGGCAGTTTTGGGGCATTTTTACCCAACAATTGGAGACCTGGTGTGGCGCTGCAGGATAATGCGCCGGACTGCAAAGTCAGTTTTCATCTCAAGGTCGGCGGTTCAAACGGACAAGCCGCTTCTTGGAAACTCTATACAGGGGTCGCTATGGGTAGGAACCGCATTTAACAACAATTGGGGGGATAAGCATGTTCCAGATTATCTCAGGTTGCCCTCCTTCCTCAATTCGGACCACTTGATTGGAGTCCTGTTGTGATTCACAACATCGGAGGTTCAAATCCACCAGATGCTCCTTGGAAGCCCTATTTCTATGAGTCAACACCGACTGGACAGCACTAAATAATAAAAAGGTGAGAAAAAAAGGCAAATTTCTTTTTAAGTCTTGATTTCTGTCCCTCTTACTGAATTTTGGTAAATGATGCAAGCGTTACTGAAGAAGCCTCTTCTTCTTGCAACATGGGGAAGGGGTGACCTTTGGAGGGGTTTCTAAACTGGGTTCCAGTCTTACCGAGATGCCAATGGGATCTCCACGCTAAAATGGATGGAAGATGTTGGCAACAGAGTGGCCATGCTTGGAGGTTTGATCTTGGAACAGACTGTGGCAGAAATGGAGCTGGGCCCAGGCATGAACGAACGCCCCCGCGGCGGCTCAGTACCTAGACTGATAAAAGTGAAAGAAAAGGGCAGCTCAGTGCACTAGGACGTCGGGACACATTTCCGGCGGGGGAAAAAAGAGACTGGATTTTCATCTACCCTGAAGATTCGAAGCCCGTGGAGGATAGAGCATCCTCCTGGCCCTGGACACCCAGGAGCATCTCCCAAGTACGAACAGGAACCGATGGCTCAGAGGAGAGAAGATCTAAGACAAGAGAAGCCTAGCTTCTAGCGCCCCCGCACAGGAGCCATCAAAGTGCACGCGCTGACCCCAAACCCTGAAAGTGGAGGGTTCCCAGGCACTGGCAGACCATTAGACCGGTTGGCCACCGCCCCAAATATTAGAACCAATATTTGGTAGAACACACACACAGACACACAGAGAGAATGAGAGAGAGAGAGAGATCCAGCTCACAATGTCATGGGGCCTAGGCAGTGCAAGCGCCCTCTGAAGCTATCAAAGACAGGGGTGGCTTTTTTCTCGTCCTCCAGCCACCCCCCCCAATAGATATAGCACGAATTTTTAATGCGTCTTCCTTTCACAGACAACAATACAGGGTTTGAAAGCCGGACACAATTTGGGTTTTGTGCGGTTCCCTCCTCGCGCTCCCTTGGCCCAGCTGGCCATATGGAATCCAGCATGGAGCCCGCAGATGACAAAGGGACCCAGTGACAGGCCCAACAAAACCCCAAGGAGACTTCTGCCTGACTCCGGGATTCACTGCCCGAGATAAGCGCGCTGAATGGTGCGCGGGAGGGGGTGTGTGTGACAAACCCTTTCTCCCTCTTCCCCTCTTTTTCCTCTACGAGCTTTTCTCTGTTCCTTCTTAATATGCACGCCTCTAACATCCCCTGCTCCTAGCGCTCTCATTGTGCGGTTTTGTGCTACCCGCAGTAGATTGGGCGAAGATAGACTGCCAAAGCGGCCCCCTCGCCGGGTGCGCTCCCAGGGCGTTGGGGTTAGGGCTGCACAGGGCTCTGTGGGCACTTTTATTGACTCCATGGGGACCAGAGGACAGAGACAGGCGGGCGCCGACCCACTTCCCAGCTCCCCGCCCGGCGCGCGACTGCACACCCAGACTGCAGGCCTACAGGCTGGCCACTACCCTAAAAGCGCCTTCTAGGAGCACTGGGAACCTAGCGAGAGTGCAGATCCTTGTTGACGCCCCTTCCTTTCCAGAATTCAAGTCCGGCTTCTGCGAGCATTCTTGAGCTCTTGAAGCCTGATACAGTGTAGAGTCCCTTCTGACAGCTTCACTACAAACGTTTTCTCGGTGGGACATAGTGTGGTTGGGGCCAGGACAAACCACATTTCATTACTGCACAACAAACGATTTGGGGAATATTAGCTGGCCTTTGAAAACAGGTAGAAAAACTCCCAAACGTTTCCAAGCTAATGTGGAGAACAAAAGGAGATTTTTAGCATTTAGAAAAATCTCTCTCTACCACTTGGCTAAACTGGAGATGGGAAAAGATGTTTAGCTAGATCTTGTAAAGAGTCTGGAGTCTTCAATTATCCAGGGGCGGGCGCGCGATGCGGTGATACCGGGTAATCAGGTCCTGAGCGTGTTGCGCTGAGTGCTATTGACGCGCAGATTTGGTCACACCGATAATCATGTTTGCTTTAGATATTGAGTTAAATGTGATCATCACATTAGAAGGAGCAAGAAAGTCAGCTGAGTCCGCTCCCTTGCGTCGCCTCCTTGCCCCCTTCCTCACCCCCACCCCCAACCCTGATGGTGGAGTTCCGGAGACAACGAGTGATACAATTTCCGAATGGAAGCTACTTTCAATTCCAGGGAGTCTCATAGCGCTCGCTGGACTCTGGCCTGCAGAACTTGGGTATTTCCTGAAATTGGAGAGGCCAATAAGGAAGATACCCCCCACACCCCAGTTTGCGGGTTCCGAGACGCTTCCCGATGCAGCCAAATGTACACCTGCATACATTGAGGGGATATATTCCCAGGGATTAGCGCCGAATGGAATCGGTTCCCTATTGGAAAAGGACCGATCGCCCGCCCTCCTCGAGGAACCAAGCTACTTACTCACTTTCCCGCTAACTCCTCAGCCTTGGAGGTCAGGGCACTCCATCCCACCTCCCAACTTTCTAACAATTCCTCCAGCCCTGCTCCGCCAAACGGGGGGAGAAGACAAGGCGCCGGATCCTGGCAGGAGAGAGAGGGCTGGAAAACCAGCAAGAAGGGGCCGATGAGGAGAGAAGGCTTGGCTTGCAGTGACCGTCACTGGCTCAAGCCCAGTCTCCCTGGCTCGGCAAAGAACCGCTGTGTGTACCGGGGAGCGCAGCAGCACTTCCCTCACCCCCAGCGCAAGTCCGCACGTTCCTTTTGGTAGCCAAAACCTCACCCCGCCCACTTCGAGCCTCGGTGCCCCTCCTAGGCCTTGGATTTTGAAAGGGGTGAGGAGTACAGAAAAAGCTGGCCAGCCTTAACCTTGCCCCCCTTCTTAGAGTGAGGTAAATCAAATGCAACAAAGTGAAAGTCATCAAGTGTAGTGGCTTCAACAGCTTCTCAGACTGAAGGAGCCACTCGTAGATTTGGGCGAGCGAGGGGGGCTTCCTCTCTAAGTCTTGGCGTTTCCCAAAGGCACTTTTCCTCCCACGTCCAGCCACTGCCGCCTCAGGTTCAGACAGCTCGCGAGACCCGGGCAAAGCCGCAGAGAGGACCGGAGGCCCGTGGGATAGTTCACAGGCTACAGGCTCGAGGCACAGTGTACCCCTTCCTCCCCTTCTGGATCTTGGCAAGCCTTGCCACAGGAGACCCTTCAGTCCAGTTCTCGGGGCTGATCTCGCCTGGAGAGGAAGCGCAGAGCGGAGAGGAGCGCAGCGTGCGGCCTGGCCTAGCTCCTGCCCGAGGCCTCCAGCCAGGCGAAGGGCGACAATGAGACAAACCGGAGGGCTGGCTGGGTTTTTTAAGCACAGTATTTTTATTAAAATTCTTATTTTTAAAAAATCGAAAGCTTCCAGCGCCCGGCGCTCTTGAGGAACCGCAGGGAACTGCTGAGCTCCAAGTTCCGGGCCTCAGGACCCGGAGGAAGCGGCAAGGGTTTTCTCGCTTACACATATTTTCCTCTTTCATATTTGAGAAATATTTGCACTGAACAAAATTTAAAACAGAAAGCGGTCACCCAAACATAAAACAAACCACAAAGAAAGGAATTGGGCTCCGAGGCCGAAAAGGCCGTCCTGAAGGTCATTTTGGCAACAATCACCAACCAATATTTACAACGAAAAGCGAAATCTGGCACCAGTTGTCATAATGTTTACATGGCCATAAATAGTTAGCAATGTCTTATTTAAAACAACAACAAAAAAGCAAAATCATCTATATTTAAAAAGTATTCTCCACTTGCTTTCGAAGAAGACAACTGACAATATTGCTACTCACACAAACATACTTTACAAAATTCACGAAAGGGAGCCGTAGGGTAGTGATGGTGGTTTCTCCCGTTTTTAAGTGACAACGGTAACGCTAGGACGGTTTGGTCCGTTCTAGGAGAGGCAAAAACAGCGAAGCTGCACAAACATTCTGTAAACACGGTTTATAATTCAGCCCTCTCCAAAGGTTCACAGAAGAGAGGGACCAAGCAGAGCCGAGAGATAGAATTTGCCGCTCCAACGAGGCTTAGGCAACTTGCCTCCCAGAATCTCCCGAGAGGAGCCGAGTCAACTCGACTCCAGAGTAATAGCAATAATAATAATAATAATAGTAATAATAATAATAATAATCACAATAAGGACCGAGTCCTCCTCGCCGCCGCCGCCGGGGTGGGGCCTGAGCCTGGGGCCTTGAGTCTCGGCAGGCCGGCGCTCACCAAGTCCACTGCTGGGCCTGTACTAGAGGGTGTGCTGTCGGGTACTGGGGGGTGCTGGCCGAGCTGTACTGGGCGCTGTACTGCATGTGCTGCAAAGACTGCGCGCTATAGGCCGAAAAGGGGATACCCGCCTGGAAGGTGGCAGCTGCCAGGTCCTGGGCTTTGAGCGCGTGGCACGGTTTGCCGTCCCTGACCAAGACGGGCACAGCCACTCGTCGCGGTGAGGGCAAGGGCGTCACCTCCATACCTTTCTCGGCCCGGGCACGCTTCATCTTGTAGCGGTGATTCTGAAACCAGATCTTGACCTGAGTTGGCGTGAGGCGGATGAGACTGGCCAGGTGTTCGCGCTCCGGGGCCGACAGGTACCTTTGTTGCCGGAAACGTCGCTCCAGCTCATAGGTCTGCGCTTTGGAAAAGAGCACCCTCCGCTTCCGCTTCTTGCCAACGTCCCCCCCGCCACCTGGGGTCTCCTTGTCATTGTCCGGTGATTCGTCGGCCGAAGGCTCTGGGGACTTGGAGCTCGAGTCCTGGGGGGCCGCGCCGGTCGCCAACCCGTGCACTGGAGGAAAGAGAAGCGCGTGAGGCGCCTGGAGGCCGCGCGCCTACTGACCTAGACCCTATGCACCCCAGATCCTTGGCTGTGTGCCCTGGCTTTTTGCCCCGTTACTCTTGCCGTGACCCTCGCCCAGCTTCACAGTTGGTGAATACGTCGAGGCCCACAAGGGGTAAGAGGAGAGATGGTAAGGGTGGGGGTTTTGATATTGTTTTTCTAGAGGTTCACACAGTGTGGGTGCGGATTTGAGGGGAGAGGATCTCGGAGCAGATCATCTCGGGGTCAGGACTTGGGATCCCCTAAACGATTTCCTCTCCTGAGAGATGGGGGAAGATTTTTAAAAGAAAACCAGATCAAAACAGAACTCCACAATCCTGACACAGATCGACTTGGCCATTTAAAGCAGGGCTTTTTTTCCCCCGGCGGTGGGGGTGGAGGACTGTTTTGTTATTTTGCCTTTGAGCTCTTTCGACACCCTCCGAACTGCACAAAGCATTGAGGCAGGGTAAGCGGCCTAGGGTACCTCTAGTCTCTCCTGCCCTGACCCTATTCAGATCTGGCTCCAGAACTCCAGGAAAGTCTAGGAGGTTCCAGGTGTCTTGGAGCCTCTCCCCTGCTCCCCTCCGCTGAGTCTTCAGGCCCAGTACCCCGCCCCCTTCCTCCTAATTCCTTACGTGGGAAAATATATGAGACCAAGTCTCTTTCCAGGACTAGGGTGTCTTGGCCAGGAGAAAAGAGTTAGGACATTCTAAATGCGTGCTCAACCTTTCTATAAGACTGGGGTGTGACATTCGGGCTTAAAACGCTCCTTTCCCTCTCCCCCAGCGTTCAGCCCTGTCTAAGGCAGTTGGAGTGGAGACGACCGCGAAGCGAAGTTTCGCTACTTACGGGAGTACTGGAGGCCCTCGGTGGTGGCTAACCAGCGTGTGTATGGGTTGTCGCTGCTGTCGTAGAATGGATTCTTCAGAGGCAGGTTCTGCACAGTGTCCAGGGCGCCCTGCCCCAGCGGTCCGGCCCTCTTGGCGGATTCAGACCCCTCGCTTTCTTCCTCTGGGCCTTCGGCCACCGAGCCTTCCTCATCATTGGTATCAGGCAGGTCCAAGATGTCCTTGACCGAAAACCCCGTCTTTGTGTTGGTCAAAGACATGGCTCAACCCCCGCAATTTATGCCGCAGAGTTGTAACTTCACTTGGTCGATTCGTGGCGCTCCCCAGCCCAGGAGGGCAAGGGGAGACCGAGGAGGGCGACTGGGGGAGGGGACCTTAATTGTTGAGATAATTATTAAAAAACAAAACAAAAACAAACAGTGGCGGAGGAGAAATAAAGCCCAGTCCAATGTCTCTGAATTTCCCTGCAGCTACACAGAAACAGCCGGAGGGCGCCTGGAGGCCTTCGTGACCAGCGCTGCAAGTCCGGGAAGAAGTTATAACTCCAGGAGGGGTGCCAAGGCGGCGTTAGCGCGGACTCCAGCGGCCGCTCCGCGCTCGGTGGCGGCTGGTGGCGAGGAAAAAATGTGCCATTGCCCGAGCGATCAGTCCATATAAGGCTGGGCTCCACTCACGAACCTGAGGAGAGGGGGGAGAGGGGGAGAAGAGAGGAAGGGAGGGAAGAAGCGGGGAGGGAGGGAGAGCAAGAGAGGGAGTAAGAGAAGGGTGGATAAAGGGGGGGGAGAGACATTAAAAAAAAAAAAACGGGAAGGTTGGCCACGTGTGGGCGGGTCTTGGGAGTCAAGTGGATGAAGACTGTATTTGCAGATGTGAAATTGTGGGTTTTGGGGAGCTCTGCGCTCCCAGCCAACAGCCCTTTAGAGCAAGATGAGAGGTGTAACGTGTCAATTAATTGCAAAGACGGGGCGAGTCTTTCTTTCTTTCTTTTTTTTTTTCTTTCCACCCAGTATTTACATACAAAGGACCACCGCAACGTTCAAGAGTCCACACACTTGAAAGGGCCGTTTTAATAAATTGCATCTTTAAAAATAAAGGGGGGCAAAGCATAAACCAGAAGAAGGGGGGGAAAGCCCTCTTCAACATTCTCTATTTCCACCTCCCTGCCTCCGCGCCCACCCCCCAGCAAGCCGGAAAATTGGCGATTTGTGGAGCGTTTGGAAAAGGGGGAGGGATAGAAGGCTGAGCCGAGGAAATTTCTCCTTCCCCTCACTGGTGGTTCCCTAAACAAGATCCGGTTCAAATGGCAAGAGCCCAACTTCTGTAAGCCTCCTTAGGTCAATATTTTGGTTGAGGCTTAAGGATGAGTACTAGAAATGACAAGGCAAGTAATTGATTCTAGTTAGCACCTAAGAGCCCGAGACCCAGGAAAGGGCCTCAACAGTACTAAGCGTTCCCCCTTCGTCCCCTGAGCACCCCCACCCCGCACCAGCCAGCCGCCCTTTATTAGGTAAAAACTCAGGTATTTTTTCCACTCCGCCGCCCTCACCCCACTCCCATTTTTTTTTTTTTCGCGGCAGAGGAAGACGCACAGCTCACTTTCAGCTTTGCCGGCCTCTGGGAGAAGCCGTTTTGGTAGCCCTAACTTGGACTCGATCCGGCCCAACTTCACCGACTGCAGGCTCTGCTAGCCATTGCGGACCAGGAGCAGTTTGCGGGTCAGCGGGAAGGGAGGCCCAGTCGCCGCGCGCCCCGCCTGCCCTCTATTATCCCTTTTTCTCCCTCCGCTAGCTCTTCGGGGAGCGGCGGGAAGAGAAAGGGGAGGAGTTGCAGGGGGCGTTGAGTCTCACGCCGGGTTGAGGAACCCGAAAGTTGCGGGGGAGGGGATCGCAGCAGGAGCGGACTAGGCTGCGCGTCTTCTCGAGCTTTCCTTTCCCACGCGAGGCCTTTTATTTCGGCTCCTTTAGGCGCTCTAGGGGCGCGTTCGGAGAAGGCGCTCCAGGTTCTCAGCCTGAGTAAGGTTTGTGCTCAAACTCTCCTACTCTGGGAAGCGAACTTTCCGGGGTAGAGCTGCTTATTTATTTACTTATTTTTGGCACTGGGGAGGACTAGCGCTGCATTCCCCACCCCCTGCTTTTCCAGCTTTCAGTTTTATCGCGAGGAGCTACCTGATGCTGGATTAGCGTTAGGAAGTTGCTTTGCCTGGGGGCGGGAAGGACAGAGAAGGCTGCCTGTGGCGTCCAAGTCTCCCTCTCCATCTCTTCCCTTGGTTGGGTCATCTCAGGGCGAGCCTAAGGGAACGCGCGGATGCCCTGACCTCTTCGAGAGCAGTGGTGGCTACCTCCGTCCCCGGGATGCCAGGGCCCGGCAAGGGCGCTTTTCCCCTAGCCGCTCAGCGGCTTTCCGCAGTCCTTCGGCCCTAGTATGTGACGTGGGTGACAATGGCTCAGGTTAGAGCGAGCCCCTCGGCGGCGCGTCCTGGGTGGTCGGACCCGGGCAAACACAAATACAAACCGATTGCTAAGCTGCGGACAATGAGCGAAATGTAGACAAATGTCCCGCTCCCGTTGGAAGCCTTTGTCCCGGCTCGGTTTTTGCATTTATTTCAGCGGCGAAATAATACATGATTGACGCTCTCTTTCAATGTGTCCTAACTGTTTGGAATAAATCTAAGGTTGTTCCTAGTTGTCATGGCATTCAACCCTTTTCAATGGACTATCTCTTCATTCATTTCTGAATCCGTCCACAATATTAAGGAAACCCCTTCATGTCGACGCTCCTCTATTCCTCTCTTTTTCCTTCTCCTTTTTGTCTCCCTCCCCCTTTTTCTCCCCCTTTCTCTGCAAGAATTGGAAACTGGTGTGAATCGTGTTCCTAGAACCCATTACTTTTCAGACTTTTTCTTTCTCGCTTGCTTGCTTCTGTCTTTCTCAGCCTCTCTCCCTGTTGCCTCTCCCTCCCCCTTTCACGTGGGAGTTCACTGTTTTACCCTGTCTTGAGGAGGGAAGTTGGCGTTACAAAAATCGGGGAGGCTCAGAGTTTGGCTCAGGGATGAGTGGGGGTGAGACTGTCCAGGTCATTGTTACCCAGTTGCTAAATAAATAGCTGGAGAGAAAAAGTTCCTCCGTCCAAACACTACAGAAACGACCTTCTTTTTGTCCCTCCTCTTATCCCTCTGTCCCCAAGGGAAGCTCTCTTGAAGAGCAGGGCAGGCTTCACGGATGGGGCTGCAACAGTCTGGTTCAGCCAGGTTAATTCTTGATTTGGTGGGAAAGGGATTCTCTGGCAAGAAGTACCTCGTTTTTCATTTTCCCAGAGTCATCTTAGGTGTAAGGGCAAGCTTCTAGAAGTTTATTTCGAAGCCACTAGTTCCATTTAGTTCCCAAATTCTCCCTTTTCTCTATGGCGTTTATTCTCAAAATCTAATCAGTATGCTCATGTTGATCCTGTCTTCTCCTAAGGCCATGGCTTCAAGGTGTATAGCACACCTAAGAAAGAGGCAGCTGTTTTCCTGCAGAAATCATGCTCCTGGGAATTAATCTTTGGAATGGGGCTACTGACAAAGACTCACTGAAGATATCCCAGCCAAGTCCACAAAGGCCCAGCTTGTCTGGCGCCAGCCTCAAGCTCTCAATCAACTGAAACCTTTCCTTACCTCAACTGGAAGGGTGCCCTCTAGGAGTACCTGCAGGGCCACACTTTCCCAGCAGGCCACCGTCGGGGGGCTCCGCCCCCTGTTCCCCAGCCCTTGCTAGAGTTATTTTCCCCTCCTGACTTTGGGGTAGCTGGGCCGAGGGAACTGAAGAGAGCAACGTCCTGGCTAGGGCGCGCTCAGTCTCTCTCTCTAGGGACCTCGCAAGTCCATTTTCCCTGACGCTTCGTTGCCCCTGCGCTTCCCGCCTCTGCTTCCAAAGCGCTGACATTTGCAATTGAAAAGGCGCAGGGAGACCGCTGGGAAGCCCGTAATTGAAGGGGAGAAACTGGGTTTGTTAGAGGAAGATCATGAAAAGTCTGTCCTCCGGGAGTAGTCTGAGAACACTGCTAAGTAGCCAGTCTGCGCCAAGCTGGTGGCCTGGGGCAAGTCCAGTGCTGAGAGCATGTGTGTTCTAGTTTAGCTCTGATCTTGGGCAATGGACTTGCTGCTGGAAGACCGAGGGGCCAGACGCCAAGAGCGCATTTTCCACCTCAATTAAACAGGTTGTTGCGTGCTGAGACCGCTTTGTTAACGGTATAGCCAGAGAGCTCATATTTGGCTAGATCCACACTCACCAGCTCAGAAGTCCCAACCCCTACTTCTGTTCCTTCCCAAGAGTCTTCTACTAATGTCCTACAATTCACACGCTGTCAGGTCGGAAAACATATCAGTGTCCACCTGCAAAATTTCAGCTCTATTTGTTCTAGTCTTAGTCTCCCTAACTGGGGATTTTTCAATAATTATATCCAGGCCTCATCTTGTAGCCAAAACAGGTAAGTGTTCTCCATTCCATCAAGTCTGGTGTGGGGTTTTGGCTGTGTTGCTAGGCTCAGCAGGCTTGTGAGCCCTTTACCATTGGCCTTCTCCATCTGTCACAAACTAGGGGGATGATGTTGAAGTGGTGCTGCTAAGTTCTGGTCCCAGTGTACTCTGGCCAGAGACCGGTTCAGTATCTCTTTGGTATCTCCAACACCACTCACCTCTGTATGGGTCAGCTGAGTAGTTGATCTCTACCTATGCCCCTTTCTTTAGTCTCAGTATTAGGGTTCCATGCCTCTTACACATCTCTTCAATTGTATCAAATTTTTTTCTCAGTTTTGGGATGGGAACAAAGGAAGCTGGCTACAAGCCCCAAGGGTAGTGGGGGAACCAGGTAAAGAACTTTTCTTTCTGGAGAGAGCTGCCACTGGGTTCTAGGGGACATTGAAACTCTCTGGGGAGAAGGCCACCAAAGGGGTAGTGATGGAGCTGAGTGAGCTAACAATCGTTGCGAGGCCCAGGAGGGGAGGTGAATGTACACAGGCTAAGTGGTCCCACTCCAGGACAAGTGGCCCTCCAAAGCAGCCCAGTGTTTACCTGTTTACTTTCCTAGGTAGCTCAAATAGGAACGCCTTTTCTGATGTGCTTGCATCCCTAGCTTCCACTTTCCTTACTTAGGCTGTATGCCACCTGTTGGGGGTAGGAAGAAGGTGGGGGAGGGATGAGCTATAAAAAGCAGTAAATAAGGCAAGAAAGGGGGTACTTTGGGAAAGAGGGGAGAAGTCTTGCAGATCCCACACATGGGGTCCTTGGTGTTTCAGACCCCACACATGGGAT